GGCTAGAACTGGTATTTAGTGTTAGCATGCCTGGATTCTTCCCTGAGGATTAATTTATCAAACACTAAATAAAACATGTCTTCTGACTGTTTTCTTTTTCCTAATGTTTATTTTCCATGCCAATAGAGAGGTTACGTTTTTTAAATAGAAAGTGGAGGGAAAGCAAAAAAAAAAAAAAGACTTAATAGGAGAAGAAAGATGCTGAAGAAATGAGGGATGAGGAGCCAGTCTATTGTGCACCAATCTATCACTTTCTCTTGGGAGAATAAGGAAATGACTTGTCTATAAAATTCTCATTAGACTAAAATAAGCACAAGTTTCTTCTGGAATCTAATTAGGCAATGTCAAATTGAGTAATAAAGGGTTGTTTTTTAATGAACTCCTGAGGACACTGGCTGAGCTTTTGCACTACTAAACTGTCTCTTACAGTCAATTTCCCTATCTTCATGGTACTGTTATATGYTTGGGTATCTGGGGAAGAAGGAAARAGGGTCATTTATCAGAGTTGTAGGATTYGGAAAGACAAATGGCTTCCTGATCATCAACCTATCCACATTCCAATAGCAAAATCTGCTATAACTTGCCTCTTTTGTTATTCCAGTCCAGTTGTCTGCGAGGATGCTTGTTTTAGAATGCAATTGTTCTTTCAAATTAAATTGGCCAAGAGTTGGGTTRTTAAATGTGAAACAAAGGTGCCCAAGCATGGCATGCACAACATTGAAACAAAGTAGCTAAATAAGTAAATTGGAAGTTATTAAACTGTTTTAGCATTTTTTTTTTTTTTGTGCTGGAAGGACTCACTCTGGAGGATCATTTTGCCTTTGAGAGGTGACTAGAAGGTAATTAGCATTAGTTTCCACTGCATATGCAGCAGTTGACCAACTTCAAAGTATTCAGTKGTTTGGTTTGATTCAGATAAGCAACTTTAGGCTTGCATGTTTATCCAGGACTTATCTGTACTATTTGGGTTGAACGAGGTAATGGCAACAAAACCTACAACTAACTGAAAGTTAATATTTTACATTAATAAAACACTAGCTATTTTTAAAGAAAGGAGCAGGAAAGACTAAAAAATTAGGACACGCTCCTTGASTGATATGAATCACTTTAACATTTTTAAAATTGATGTAGACCCCTAATATTTAACTTCCTTTCAWATGTGGGATCCTAAAGGTTTTCCTTATGAGGTATGAGTTAGGATCAAATTTACTTATTAATGTCCARTCTTTCACATACTCTTAGAGCATTCTCAGGCATTTTTGGGTTCCCTTCCTGAAAACTTCTGCTGTAGCCCTTTTAAAGTTTTCTTTTAAGGAGGTATTCAGGGAGAAGTAAGTAGATAGCATTTAAGTGATAGTCATAAGCTCTGGTCTTCCTTGATTTATTGTTTTTTTCCTGCTCTTCCTTTTGAATGGTGGATGGAGACAGTAAGTTAATGTACTAATATTTCCAAAGGGCTTTTGGGGAAAAGAAGCTTTAAAATGGCTTTTAGGAATTTCAAGTATCTTCCTTCATACTCTGTTGTGGAAGTTGTCATCAGGGACTTCGTTGATGCCTTTGAGCACAAAATATTCAGTGACTTTGCCTTTCCAGGCCAAATGTGGTGAACCTTTAACCATGGATGAGCCAGAATGGCCTGAGTTGGCACATAGAATGAGGCAGGTTTCACTCAGATGAATTCAGGTGAGGCTCAGAAGTTTCCACGCTATGAGTAGGGGGACTAGGAAAATCTGGCTATATGTTTGCAGYTGTCAGCTGAGAGATTTGTACTTTGAAAGTGAGGTTCAGAAAAACTAGCTGGTATGTGGGCTTTGTTCCTTTTTCCTTTTGAAGAGTGAGTAGTTGGTGTAGCCCTGGCCCGTCCAAAGGGCAGAGTGTCAGGGCACACCTCTGGTCAGAGACAGGTTAAAGTGTCACCCAGAGATTGTAAAACACTCCTTTCCAACCCTTTTCAGTTTTGCCTGACATTCAGCCTTCCCCCATCTCTCCCTRACCCTGTTTGTTTTACTGGCTAACTCTACCCTTCCTTCACGCTGCTCCTTCTGCTGACCCTCTGGTGAAATCCAGCTCCCACCGTGCCTCACAYGGGCACTGCTCTGTCCCCTCATTCAACCTGCTTTGACATGGCCCATGACAAAGTTGGAGAGCAGTCTTAGTATCTCCAGTGCTTCTGCAGTGTTTTCCATCCTGGTCCCCATTTTTAAATTTCCCTTTTGGTGCCTGCAGGCTCTCCTTACCATGGTTGCTTCTGGTGTGCCGTCCCCTTGCTGCTTTCCACAGGGACAATGGCTGGTGCTGCAGGGCAGAGGATTTTGTAGCGCAGCTCRGATATGCAAGAGCACAGTGCTGACTGCATGGATGCACCATGGTCATGCTTTGTCAACCAGACTAATCCTTGAGCTGAAAATTTCAGTTTAATATGCACATCTGTGCGTGCAGATTAGCCCAGGGTCATTAGCTTTCTTATAGAGGAAACATTTCACATTAAAGAACATAATTGCTGAGCAAATATGCAAGGTATTTTGCAGTTGCTGTTCTCCAACCTAGTCCTTGATTCTGGTAAAACACACACAGAGATATTTAAAAACACAGCTTGTTCCATGTTGAGTGTCCTGCATACCTGTAAACTGTTTCTCAGACTGGGACCAGTATAACCTGGGCTTCTGCAACTTGGGGATGTTAAACACATTGAACAGGCCCTGCATTTGTCAGGGTTTGCAGTGAGAAGTCAGTGAGACTGTGCTGCATGATTAACTCACTGGTTTTCAGAATGGAACTTCAAAATGCATAAGAGGAATACAAGGCTTCACACTTCTCTCTTGACACATTGTCCTGCATATATGAGAGGTCAGAGAACTGTATTTAATTCACTGAGGACCTGAACATTTCTTAATCATTCAAAATAATTTCATAGGGGCTTTGCTACTTAAAAAAATAAGAGATTCACATGTATACTTTGAGCCTTTCAATGTTTGTCAAAGGTAAAATTATCACAGCCAGCTCTGAGACTACCAATCATTTCTTTTAAAAATATACCTGTTTCAGCCTAGGTAAGTGAAATAGCCACAGCATCTACAAATTTCTCTTGTGTTGCTGTATTTAACCTAGAACAAAAATTTCTGATTACTGCAGACCCTGAAGTACAAGTCTTCTGTTGTTTAAGAATTTAAATGGAAGCAGTTAACGCATTTGCAAATGATCTTTATAAATCATATTCCCCTCAAATTTAGTGTTGAAATCAAAATGATTTAAAAGAGATTTTAAGTTCCTCTGCTCTTCAGAGCTGTGACTCTTGAGATTTCTTTTACAGAGGGCTCAAAGATATACTGTGGTGTAGGGCTGATAAATTGCCTTTATTTTCAGAAGGGCATAAAACCTATCCCAAAGCAGGGCAGTGCACCCYACACAGCAGAGAATGATTTAGAGTAGTTGGTGAGGTAGGGTGTGCAAAGAGAATGGTGCCCAGGGCATTGTTTGACTGATTGTAGTTTTGTGATTCTGTAGCTCTATGTACATGTCTGTGTTTCAAAGTCTTTGGCAAGACTCCTGTTGGTTTCATGGGCTCTTTGATCGAGTTAATTTTGAATAAAATATACTAGGAAAAAAACCTAAAAGCAATAAGTGGAAAATGGGCATTCTTCCCACAGAAAGTGGGGTATGTGTTATTTCCAAAATTTTTCTCAAAACCACTCTAGGTCTCCAAAGAATTATTTTTTAGTTGAAACCATTTTGCATTAACAAACTATCTTTTAAAAAACAAATATTATATTTCTACTTTATAAGTATTTTCTGCTTTTGCTTCTCTGGTGAGTTATTTTATTATTTTCTTTGTGTTCTTTTTTGCTTTTCTCTTTTTAAAAATACCGGAAAACGGCAAAAGAGAAAACCAAAAAGGAAGGGAAGCTAGTAGGAAAGTGTAATCAAAAATGCAAAAATGAACATTTGTTTTGATGTTTACTTTTTTCCAAATGGCTCCATGAAAACWCATTTTGCACAAAAAAAGATGTGCAAGGGCAAACAAACCTGTTATCTCCTAATAAAGTTGTCATATAGCACCAAGACATATAATGCTGAACTCTTTGAGACTCCAAAATGTCTCCCCGTGGAGATTCACCACGCACACAAAAGAACTTGATGATTTTCAGTTTATGTGCATGGTGATCCCTCCTGTCATGAGCGTGAAAAGGCAGAGGAGAGGGAGCTCTGCCACTGTCAGCTCATCCGTGCTGAGCTGTGCTTGTTGAAGAGCTCTCCTGAGGGCTTTGGGAAATGGATGAAGATAGCATGGCCAAGATAGATGATGAATATTTCCAGCTCTTCTTTTATCCTCTCTTCTCCCTTTCCTGTTCCAGTRCTTGAATGACTGCGTAGTTCCTGAGTGGACTGTTGAATCAGCACAGGCATCCATTTTAAACTAAATTGTCCCTGATTTTGGTTTGTGTTGAAAAGTCAGAGTCAGTAAGGAGTTTGGCCAGTTGTGCATCAGCAGTGGGTGTCTGAGGCAGTGCTGCCAGTCCTCCCAGGACACAATCCTTGTTCATCCCAGCTCTGGGCTCCACCTCTACTGTTAACCCATGGGAGAGGGTGGGTTGCATGTAGGTTGCTGCCCTGGGATTCTCAGCAGCCTTCCACAAGGTTGTGTTCAGCTGAACTGAGGTGCTTCCTTCCACAAGGTTGTGTTCAGCTGAACTGAGGTGCTTCTCTCTCATCCTCTAGATTGCAGTTTTGGAGGAAATACGTACAACAGCTCCATGAAATGGCACCTCCCCAGCAATCCCTGTGTTACRTACCAGTGCCAGGTAAGGATGTAATAAAAATTGTGCTAATTGAGTTGTAAGCTTTTCCCAGGAAATCCTGAACCTTCATTTATCCAATCCAAATAACCTGAAATATGTTATGCCCAAAGCACAATATGGACTTCGCATTTGAAGTAATTTAAATCCACTCAGATGCAGCCAGCTATAACCAAACATTCAGAGGGATAGGTTTTCAGAGACTTGAGTACCATGATACCCAAACTTTGCTGAAGGAGAGGTACACAGCCATGCCATTTCCTGCTGTCTTGACCTTGAAGTAAATTCTCTTTTCTTCAGCATTTTAAGYCTTTTGTGAGATACAAATTGTTTTAGTAATTGGACACTTCCATGTGTATGTGTCCATGGGTTTTACCTGGGGTGCTCTTTAAGAGAAAGCTGCAACTAAATATTCCTTTTTTGGGCTCCTGCACTGTTAACACAATGGTACTTATTTTTTGGTAGTTTGCCTATCTGCAGCCTAACATTTTCAAGGTTGTCGACTGTCAGGCTCAAACCAAGTGGTTATRTAGGCAATTTCAGCTTATGTCTGTGAACAGGTCTGCCACATTTGCTGGCAGTTTGATTTGGTTTTAATAGTAGCACTCAGGCAACTACTGAGAATGGCAGTTGGAAAGAGGAGATTAGTGAGTTTGAGGAGCTTCTATGAATAGGAGAAAAGTTTCAAGGGTTTTTTTTTTCTTTTTCTGTAATACTTCTGCTCTGGGAAACCAACTAATTTTTGAAAATAAGTCMCCTGAGAAGAATGAAGTTGGAGCAGTATTCTGTATTCTTGCACTTAATGAAAAGAARCTCACTCCATGAATTTAGATATGCTGCATGAAATAATCAGTTCTTTATTGCCTGTTTCAGTGTCTAAATGCAAAACTGGGTGATCCTGTTTATCCTAGATCCACAAATTTAAAAAACAATTTTGCCTTGCCTTAAACAGCTGTAAGCAGAAAAAAAAGGTAGCAGCTTTTATGCATAGAGCCTCGCACCCAGGCTTGTGCAGGAGGACTCTTGACTCCTTGACTAAGTACAGGAAATGTTAATTWACTAATACTTATCAGCCAACATATCAAAGATAAGCATCTCCCCTCTACAGAACAAGATGTTTTTATCTGCTTTCTAAGTCTATTTTCCTCCAATAGGAGAGGGAGGAGAATGCCTTGTSTCTGGCCTGTTTTCACCAGAGCTGCATGGCAGATTCCTGAGGTTAAGGACTCCTGATAAAGCAGGATTCCTTTTCCTAAGAGGGTGCTTGGTTTTTTACCTGATGCATTTTAAGGTAAWTCCTGTGTCTGGAGTCAGGGAGACTTAAGGGGATCTTTTGACTGTGAGTTAACCTGAATCCTGATACCAGGCAGCAGGTAAAGAAAGAAGAGAAGTTTTGAAACCCAGTGCTTTGCAGCCTGTGCTGGGCTTTAATTGTACTGCCAGTAGTTGTGAATTTTTGCTTGTTAATGCAACCACAATGCTAACGATGAACGTGCCKGATCTGCTTCTTTTTCAGGAAGGAGTGATAGTAGAATCAGAAGTACAGTGTGTTGTTCATTGCAARAACCCTTCCAGACTCAGGGGAATGTGTTGTCCTGTGTGCCCAGGTGAGATTTCATGGCTAAGATGCTGTTCTACATGTGCAACTGTATTTCTGATAATACCCGTTATCACCCAGGAGGCTGCCTCTGACTTCTCTGTTATACTSGACAAGTTTCTAAGATGTGGGCTGGTGACTCACAATGCACAAAAYGACACAAGATATGTTTAATATGTTTTGGTAGAGGACATGCAGACCCCATGATGCAAAGGCAATGTCTAGTGCTAATGTCCACTGGTGTGTTTTTCTMATTTTTCAGAGGATCTTTAAGGTGGGTTTGCATGACTGATGACCATGATTTTGTTAGCAGGCGACGGATAAGAGTAATCATAAAAAAAAGATTAAATTTTTTAATGGGGAGTGAGAATAGGTTGCCTTTGCAAAGCCCAGTGGCAAATTACYGTGGTTTTTTTGGCTAATTTGATTTTATCAGAGATTTCATAGGTAAGTGCAGCTCCAGTTATTATATAATGGATTTATTATATTTTGATTAGTTACAACATCTGCTAACATCTAACAAACACAAACTCAGGGAGTAAGAATGAATTAGTAAAAAGCAAACAGCCTGAAAAAGTGTTTTAAAGGAACTTCTAATGGGAGACTTGGCCTAGCCTCAACTTCATTGTTGCAAATTTATCTACTGTAGAGGGATGTTTTCTTTCCCTCCCCAAAAAAAGATATTTAGGGTTTCTTAAGGATTTGGAAGTGATTTGTTTTCATCTGAAGTGATTTTCTCTCTACAGCTACCTGAAAGGAGGTTGTAGCAAGGCAAGGATTAGTTTCTTCTTTCAGGCAGCCAGTCAGAGGACAAGAAGACACAGTCTCAAGCTGTGCCAGGGGAGGTTCAGCCTCGTAGGAGAATGCCCAGGGTGTTGGAGTCACTATCCCTGGAGGTGTCCAGGAAATGACTGGATGTGGCATGGTCTACTTGACCAGGTGGTAATCAGTCAAAGATTGGACTTGATGATCTTGGAGGTCTTTTCCAACTTAAATAATTCCATGATTCTGTGTCAGAGAGGATGGTATGATTTATTTGTCATATTGTCGTACAGTGGGGAGTATCAGAGAGAAAAGGCAGCATTCTGTCTTGAGCTAAACTTATTCAAATGCTGTTTTCCAGGTTGTGTATTTGAAGGGAGACTTTACAATGAAGGAGAAGAATTTAGGCCTGAAGGAAATAAATGTACGAAGTGCTCTTGTATTGTAAGTATTTGCCTTTTGGCATTSTATCTCCCTGTATGAACTTCAAAAGGCACATTATTATTGCCATAACAAAGCAAAAATATAAGGAATTCCACACTATTATGCATTCTCCTCCTGGAATTCAGGTCTCTGTTGAAGAATTTATGGTATTAATACATTCAATCGCTCCCATTCTGAGTTTATAATTCTTTTTGTGGCCATACACTGTACACAGATGGAGCAAGTTATTTGGGAGAGGKCTGATCTGTTGAATTAGTGGTGCTTTTTTTTTTGTGATAGGATCATTCAGGAGGAGACAGATATCTTTTTGGCCTTCATCTATTGATCGGCATTTATTAGATGCTTCCTTAAGCCAAACTTTTCCAAGGATTCCTTTCAGTTGTATGCAGCAAGGGCCTTTGCTSTGAATTACTGAATGAAAGAATGAGGGTAGCCTCCTGAGGCTGTCCCAGGTGGATTTTTGGCTTGACGCTTGATGAAAAGGTCATATCCTGGATTTTATTCTTGACTAGCAACAATATGGAGAGGAAGTAATAATTGCATCCTTTGGGTAATGAGTCCAGGCTTCTTTTCCACTTCCATTAAGTTAAAAGATAATGCTGTATGAGTTGGGGCATATACCTTTGGCTTCCTTGCTGTAATCTATGAGATGAGTAAAATCCCTGCTTTTGAGTTCAAATTACTGCTTTTGTTGCAGTTTGTGGGCTGGTTATCAGCAAAATATGTAAGGCTTTACATTGCAGTAGAATGCYAAGAAATTTGTCAATACCAGATACAGTGTTCCTTCATCATGAAAATTAAATAAAAAAAGGAGGAGAGAAAGATAGATTTCAAAAGTTAATATATCTTTATACATATACACACATTTAATGAAGCTGCTTCAGAGTACTTGAACTGTTTTGTGGRGAAAAATAACCTCGTAATCTACAAAATTAATTTACACTAAGTCATTGCTGCTCCTGTGGAGATCAGGGCGCTCAGGTGATTTATCTTTTTTTAAAGTTCTAATCTTGTAATAATAAAAACATGCCGTCACACATGTCACTGTGATATRTGTCACGGGCTCCTGCTCTGCTGAATGCCTTCTGTCCAGGCTGAGAACTCCCTCTGTACTTGGTGGGTCCCCCTCTCACTTCAGCTTCAGCTGTAAAGCAGTAGCTTTACACTTCAGCTTTCCTTAGTTATGTTCCTCGGGGGAAGGCAGGACTGAATGGTTGAGAAGTCTGCGGAGACACACTTGAGTGTTTTCAGGTTCTGCTCTACTCTTTCATAAATACTGTAGACATATTGCCTATTGCCCAGTTATTGGTGTGCCAACATCTCCTTGATCAATTTTCCTTTGTTCCTTGAATATCAAAAGCTTCTGTGCTGAGAAGAGCAYTGGAGGTGGGAGATATCTGGGAAGAGCAGTGTAAAGAAATGAAGGAATAAAGGGTCATGGGGAAGGTCTGACCTTGCGAGTTACCAGTCTCAGTTGTGTTAGAGAAGGAAACACATCAACTGTTTAGATTAAGTTGTTTAAGGCCTCTTAACCATCTCTTCCAAGAAGGACAGCATGATTGTTTTGGATGTTAATGACATCTGCATAAAATGTCCAGCTCTCATTCTGAATCTTTCTGACAGCTAAAAACGTGCCATCTATTTATAAGCCACACCAGACCTCCCTTCCCTATCTCTGCAGAGCCTTTTTTACCCTCCCGCCAGTCTCCTCCAGAATTTGAGCCTATGCTAATTCCTATGTGATTTAAATTTGAAGTAAATAAAGGAGGCATCCTGAGGGCTGTGATAACAGTTTGCTGCCTACTTTGAATCCATTCCCTTTTGGGAATGGGTTCTCAGTGAACCTCTTATCTAAGCAGTTGGTGGATGGATGTCTTATTTGAAGATACCTATCTAGTCATGCAAAGTGATGGGAACAGGCTTGTGWGTGATGTGCTGTAACTTGGGCAGGCTTTAACAGATGGAGGAAGGCTCCTCACCCCAAATTAGATTTCTTCTGGGATTTCAGATTGTAACTAGTGAGTMTTTTGTGGAAACGTGGCATAGGAAGTAGCACAGATTATTGCTGAGGAATTTTGGGGATGTGTGTTTAAGGGTTCCAGCTACTCTCACTTCAGGGTGAATTCTGCATTTTATTTGGCAGCAAGGTTTTCAATGATGGATGATTCTGGACTCCACAGGCCATCACTGTCCCAGGGGTAGCTCAAACTTGGGGCTGCAGACAGCACTGAACAAGAAGAAAGTAAAGAGGAATGGCTGTGGTTTGTTTTCCTGGAGAGATGCAGGGTTGATCTGCCCTCACTAAATGAATTAAAATGAAAAATTGCTTAAATAAAGGAATTTTATCGTTGTAAAATGAAGCACCCAGAAGACCGTACACATCTGCAGGTGTGGACTGTGGGCCCCCATCTTGGGAAAGCACTTTGGTAGTTCAGGTTTGTGGTATTTTCAGCTGAAAATGGTGCCTACTAGATACTACTGAACTCCCAAAAAATTTGAAATGGCTGTTAAGGCATTGCAGTGTTAAGCACTTAATATGTGCTTTTTTGTTTATTTGTTTTTAACACATTGTTTTTGCAAATGAGGACAAAACTGGGCTCTTGGGAACTGGGGGCCCCCATTTTGGTGGAGCAGGCTGGCCAGTTGCAGGGCTTCCTATGTGCTCCATGGCCCTGAAGGGCAGAAAAAGCAAAGGCACGGCCACATCTGAGCGATTCACTCGATCCTTACCCGCTTAACTCATTAATATGGCTCCTGTCTAACACCACTTGTGGTTCTAGTGATTGTCTACTGAAAACCAGACCTAACCCACSAAACTCATTTCATGGAGGTCAGCGAAACAAGCCATTAACTAATAACTTTTGAGTTGTTACGGAGCCAGGCTGTGCTCGCGGCGGCGAGGCGCAGATGAAAGGCCCTGTATTCCATTACCGCTCTCCTAAGTGAGCTGCTCCTTGGGGCGACTAAGATTTCTTGCTGAAAATGAGAATGTATCACCTCTCACTCAATGCATATTGCCTGTCAGGAGTGAACGAGCTGGCTTTTAATGACTCAGTTTCTCTGGGGAGAGGCATTTGTGTAGGAAAGGTGGAYGGGATAATAGGGATCTCCTCGCACCCCGACTGAAACCCAGCTGTCTTGCAGTAATTCATCTGTCTGGCCCRTTCCTGCTTTTCATGATAGGCCAGTGGCCTGTTCTAGAGAAACCTTGGCTATTTTCCCTACAATAAGCACCTACTTAAATGAAGGACTGGCTTCTTTAATCAAGTGTTATTTCTCAGATACTACTTTTATGAGGTCGAGAGTGTGTTTCTGCTTGCACAGTAAGAGCACTTGGCTTACATGTTTCCTTTCCTACAGCCTGCATTAAAATAGTCAGACTGTGATTATCGTAAATGTTTTCATTTTCTCCTTTGATGTAGCACGTTTGGGRAAAAAAAAAAAATAGCGGAGGGGGAAGGAGAGAGAGCCAGGGAGGGAGGAGAGGAGGTTTGGCAGGAAAGTGACCTTGCATGAGAGCGGTAACCATGGAGAAGCTTATCTTTAGGTGGTAGTATCCAAACTCATAAGTAGCCCCTTTTGAGTGCTGTGAGCGCTGTTACCCAGACCGTGGGCGCTGCGCGTTGCGGCATGCGAGGCATGCGGCCGTGCGAGGCACCGCCACGCTGCGAGCTGCGGAGATGCCGCAGCCCGGGCCAGCCTTGATCCACACCCCTGGAGAGAAGGGGAAATGGAGGCTGGGTTATGGCATTGCGGGCATGGCTGAGAGCTGGCAGTGGGAAAGGTTGCACTGTCTGTCCGTCCCACAGAGAGGCATGTCCCGGGGACGGCCGTCAGCAGGGTGGTTTTGTGTGTTTGGTTCCCCAAACAGCATTGTTTCCCAAAAGCAATGCTGTCCTCTTAGCTGCTCTTCCAAAGTGATTTGGAACAAGTGAGACCCAAACAGCTGGAAGCRGAGCACAGGGATTTGAGGCTCTTACAGAGCTGAATCAAAAAGGAGCCTCTGCACAATCTCCTTTGCATCACTGGGGGCTTTTAAACCACTGCTCAAAGGTTCAAGACATGCCCAGCTRCTCGACTGCAGGTGCTCTTGTGGGTGTGTGCATGCAGAAAATGTCACTTACGCTCCTGATGGTAGGATGCAAATACTGAATAATGAAAGTTTTGCACAAAGAAAAGGAAATCACAACGGCAAGATCTGTTTCTAAATCAATGAGTAACAGGMGTTTCAACTGTGATAAGTAATGAGAAACTACATATGTAAGTGTTTTGCATGCTGAGGGTGGAATTAATCTTGTCTAGCTCCAGCTATTCAGATGTAATGTGTCTGATCTGAACTACTTATCTGGGCTCTTCTTCATTTAATGGAGAGAGAGAGGTGGGATGGATTACTCTCTGCAGATGCTTATCTTCCTCCACTAACTAGAGGGGGAGCAACCCAGCTCTCTGGCCTCAGAGATGGYTGAAGATAGCCAAGACAGATCCTGCCCCTTCAGTCAGCTGGGTGATTAAGCACCCTGATACTGCTTTAAAGGCTTGGCTTTAATCGGYATAGGGAGCTGCTGGAATACATTCCCACCGCAAAAGACAGTGGGGGAGGTACGACAGTCTACTGGGAAACTCGGGGAACACGCAATTAAATGTATCCTCAGTGAAGGCTGAGGATGATTCAAATTCAAATTTCCATCCTTAGTGCMGTGCCAAATGCTGATCTTCCCAAATTTCCATGTGCTTCAGCTGCTTTGATTCAGCTCCAAACTGCAGCAGACACTGTCTGCCCTTACTCTGGGGCTAAGAAACAGAGACAAGGAGTTTTGGTGAGGGGTGGAAAAGCAAAGAGTTGGTAGAAGAAGCATTCACATCTTCAAAGTTAGTGACATCAGTAAAGTGGTTGGCTTATGGGTGGATGCAAATAGAGRCCTGGAAGTGCTCAGAAATGGGATGTGAGGGTTGGTTACTGTGTCTCCCTGGGAGCACCCCATAATTTTGTCTGCAGATTT